GGACCCTTTCCAATTTCTCCACATCTTTTTAAAAATGCGGCGCCCAGAACTGGACACAATACTCCAGCTGAGGCCTAGGCATCCACTGCCTATCCCACAGACAAGAACACAGAGAGATTTGCTCAAGGCCACCACAGTTGGAATCTGAAGTTCCTGGCTTCCAGCTCTGTGCTCGGACCAGCATGTCACTTTCTCATGGTGTTATTTCACAGGCCGCACAGGGAGGAGGATGGAAGAGGGCTCTTAACATACTGAGGTATGGCACAGATCAGAGTTGCTAACACCTGCTTTCCCAGAATTCACTGGGACACTCCACCACACTCACCTTCATAAACTGCTCCATGGATTTGGAGGCCAGGGAGTTGGAGCGGAAGAGTGTGTTCGGATCAGCTGGAAGCAAAGAAAATGGATTTATAACCCAGCCGGGACCTGTGCCACATTGCATTTTCACAGTGCCTTTCACACAGCCTCCATCCCATGGTGCATTGCGGGGCAAAACAGCACCAGACAGTGAACAGCACATGGCATAAGCTAGACACAGCACGGGGGTAGGTCCAAAGATGTTGTCAGAGCCTTCAGGCCTCTGGCCAGCAGTACAAGGACAGAGAGACTGAGGTGCCAGCAGCAGGAAGCAGATGGGTTTCCAAGGGAGAGCGGGAAGAAGAGGGGGTGGAGACAGGCAGGCTGCGTCAGGCAGCAGGAGTTGCGGGGGAGAAGGCGCTCACACTAGCAGAGACAGAGGAGAGGCTGGGGCTGTGAGGAGCAGAAGGCGGTGGAGAGACAAATGCTGGATCCTGAAATAATGGGGAGCCAGCTAACGGCTTGAGCACGGTGGGGAAATGGAGCAGCTATTCTCTGCATGTGCAGGAAGGGTTCTGGAGTCAAGGGGGCCAGCCCGGGCTCAGGGGAGCATAGGACTGGGGGCTGCCCCTCAGGTGAGAGTGGGGGAGACATGCATGAGGATCCCAGCAGAGATGGAGCCATGTCACGTGCAAGGGGGGCAATGCCCTGGAGAGCCAGCAAGAGGCGAGGGGATAGCAAATGGAGACTAGAACCCTGCCGTGGTTCTTACCTTGGAAGGCTGGTCCCAGGAAAGAGACCCAGGGCCTTATCCCCGGCCACACTAAAGCCCTTGGACTCTGATAGTGTGAAGTGGGGAGGAAGCCTGAGAACTCCCCTGCTTATGTGGCCTCCCTGGCCATGTAGGATGGCGTAAGGGCTACAAGGGCCCCGCTCTTGGCTTAGGGGGTGTGAGCAGGGTGGCCAGGGCTGTGGCTATGCACTGGCTGCCATGGTTGCACTGGGAGCTGGGCCGGCTCCAGAATACAGGGAGCCCAAAGATAGCTTAAAGTCACCTTCCCCCACCCCTCTATCCCTGCCCCAAGGGCAGGAAAGGAGTCACTGGGAATTCGGCCTTTAATCTAGTCCATTCCCACCACGAGGGGTTCTCTAAACAGCCTCTCTCCCCGCCACGTAGCCAGGCCGTGAGCTCAGTCCTGGGCAGATGCCAAGCAATTCACTGCATTGGTGCTGGAGCTGGGCCAAGCCCAACCCCATTGCTTCCTCCTGTAGGTACAGGCAGGCAGCCAGAGGCACGCCCCAGTCACCACGTCTGCTCTGACAAGAAGCACTGCCCTTGGAGTAGCTCCCATGCTAGACCTGGTGGAACCAATACCGCTGGTACTAGAGCCCCGGGTACCTTAGACGCCGATCCCCACCGGTATCCAGGGCCACGGAGACCTTAGACGCCGATCCCCACCGGTATCCAGGGTCATGGAGACCTTAGACGCCGATCCCCACCGGTATCCAGGGCCACGGAGACCTTAGACGCCGATCCCCACCGGTATCCAGGGTCACGGAGACCTTAGACGCCAATCCCCACCGGTATCCAGGGCCACGGGGTACCTTAGACGCCGATCCCCACCGGTATCCAGGGCCTGGGGTACCTCGGACACCGATCCCCACCGGTATCCATGGCCAGGGGTACCTTGGACGCCGATCCCCACCGGTATCCAAGGCCATGGGGACCTTAGACGCCGATCCCCACCGGTATCCAGGGCCAGGGGTACCTTTGACACATATTGACCCTTTGCTCTCCTTGCCCCACTGAGTTTCAATGTGGATACCTATCTCTTATGCTGCTGCCCCAAACCTCCCCATTTCCAGTTCCCAAATGTTGCCAAGTGTCAGAACCCATGTTTGATCAGAGCATTTCTGGCCCATATCCCATTCTCCTGCCACCTCCTGCCTCCAAAACAGGCAGCCTGGGGTTTCCATGGAAACACAATGGTACATTAGGACCAAAAGAAGGATGCTACGGTGAGTAGAGGAGCCAATCAGGGAGTTATGCCAGGAAACCCAGGTGACTGGCTCCCAGTTTGAAGCAAGGTCTATTTGTGGCCTGGAACGGTTGGAAGGGGGCAGGAGATCTTGGTAGCTGCCCCCAACCCACCACCACCACTCCCCAGCCGCCATGTGACTGCAGACTTGAGATCAGGAGAGGGAGAAGGCCCTGCCCTTTGGATAGAGGGGGTGGGAGTTCCTGCCCCCCAAGGCCAGTCTGAATTCAGAAGCTTGTCTCAGTGTCGGAGGATGGGCTCACTTCAGGCCCAAGAGATGAGTGCCCAGGGAAATGCGCAGGGGGAGGCAGGTACCACCGGTACCATCGCTGACTGGGACTAGTGTCACCGGTACCTCGGTATCGATACTAACTGGTACCTGGGTGCTGGGCAAGGTGTGGAAAATGGGCTCAACGAGTGTTCAATTACCCCCCATCCCCCGGATTTTCCTGGTCTAGGTGTGGCACAGGAGAAACCCCCCCCCCCCCCAACACCAGGCAAGTAGCAGCGGGTGCCCTCCATATGGAGCACTCCAGATCACTTTTGGAGTTCCCTCAGTCCAGGCCCTGGCACTCCACAGCAATGCCCAGTGTCATGAGCTTTGCCAATGATGAGCAGGACCCTGGGGAAGGCACTGGGCCAGGCTCTTGCCACCAGGCCTGTGGGGCAGCACTTACTGGTCTTCGTCACCTCCCGCAGGTTAAGGTAGTCCAGGAAGGGCACCGCCAGGCCCTGTCCCAGGAAGATCTTCACCAGCTTCGTGGCCACATCCTGCCGGCTCTCCACCGAGCTGATCTCCTCCAGCAAGGCCAGCGGGCTGACGTCCTCCTCCTGCTGCACAGCAGAGCAGCGATGCTGTCTGGCCAGCATGCATCTGCCCCAGCCAGGGAGACCCCCAGAGTCCCCTCACCAGAGCCCCCTCTGCCCCACACCAAGAGGGGCCCCTCTGCATCCACTGACCCCAGAGCCCTCTCTGCCCCACTCCAAGAGGGGCCCCTCTGCATCCCCCGACTCCAGAGCCCTCTCTGCCCCACACCAAGAGGGGCCCCTCTGCATCCCCCAACTCCAGAGCTCTCTCTGCCCCACACCAAGCGGGGCCCCTCTGCCCCACACAGGGAGATCCTCTCTTCCCCCCAGACCCGCTGTCCCCCCACACACCACGAGGGTCTGTCTCTGGTCCCATCCCAGGAGGCCCGGAAGCTTTCAGACAGGTGTGGGGTGCAGCGGGGATGGAAGCTGACAGGCCATTCCGATCGCGTGGCCAGGCTGAACCTGCAGGACCACAGGCTCAGCGGAGCACCCCGCCCCTTCCCCAGTTCCCTGCCCCTCTGCAGCAGAGCCAGTCCCTTACCCCAAGGCCCTGGACAGGACCCTGCCTACAGCTCCAGCCTGGGCTCCTCCTACTCCTGGCACCAGTGGCGTAGCCAGGTTCTAAGAGCAGGGGGAGCAAACATAAAAAAGCAGGCAAAAAAGCCACCACCTGCGTGGCAGGGGAGGGAGCCGCGGGCCCGCAATCCCCAACCGGTCGGAGCACCGGGGGGAGGGCGGCGAGCCCGCCGCGGCCGCCGCTCTACCCGGCGGCCAGAGCGGCAGGAGGAGGGCGGAGAGCCCGGCCGGGGCTCTCCGCTTTCCCCAGCGGCCAGAGCACTGGGGGGAGGGTGGAGAGCCCCCGGCGGCCAGAGCGCTGGGAGGAGGGTGGAGAGCCCGGACGGGGCTCTCCAATCTCCCCGGCGGCCAGAGTGCCGGGGGGAGGGCGGCGAGCCCCCGACGACCGGAGCACCAGGGGGAGGGCGGAGAGCCCCCAGTGGCCAGAGCGCTGGGGGGAGGGCGGCGAGCCCAGCTGGGGCCCCGCTCTGCCCGACTGGCCGGAGCGCTGGGGGGAGGGCGGCGAGCCCGCTGTGGCTCCGCTCTCCCCGGTGGCGGGAACACCGCGGGGAGGGCGGCGAGCCCAGTCGCGGCCCCGCTCTCGGGCCGGAGCGCCCCGCCGCCCCCCTCCAGGCGCCACCCCAAGCAGGTGCTTGGTGGGCTGGTGCCTGGAGCCGGCCCTGTAAAAAAGGTGCCCCCTGGCTCCTCCGGCCATGCCATGCCCCCCCTTGGCTGGCTCCTCTGGCCACACTGTGGCCATGCTACGCCCCCCTCGCTCCTCCGGCCGCGCTGCCCCCCCCATGGCTGTAGAGGAAGGCTGGCAGAGGACAGGGGATTGAGGGAAGGGATGTAGCGGGAGGGTGGCAGGGGACAGGGGGTTTGAGGGGAGGTGAAGGGGAGAATGTGGAGGGAGGGGGACAGGGGGTTTGACTTGAGGGGAGGTGGAGGGGAGGATGTGGAGAGAGGGGGACGGGGGTTTGACTTGAGGGGAGGTGT